GAGAGAGAGAGAGATATTCGGAACGTATGGGAAATCCCCTTTCGTTCTCTTCCGCGTACGAATTTCCGGCGACGTACGTTTACGACTTCCGCGATCGTTTCGCTTCACGCGAAATTGGATTATCGACCTACTGTAATAGTCCTCCAACACCTTCTCGTCGGAGGACAAGGACACGTGCTCAGGATTGTCCTTCTTTCAATTATGTTTTCCACCAAGTTCGCAAAACATTACGGGCGCGAAAGAATCGGATTTTCACGACGAAGAGCTATGTGGTTTTCTTTGCCGACATCCGTTACGTCCTTTATCTTCTTTATATGTTTTTCCTTTTGAAGAAAGGAACTTTTTATGCTCTTTTACGAATATACGACAAATTTTATTTTTTTTATAAGATAAGATTAATTTCTTTCTGCGTAATATAATTTAATTTCTTTTTGTTATCTAAGCGATCAATTAATTTGCACGATCTGTGTTTTTCAAACTTGCGTTGGAAATTTACGGAAAAAAGACATCTAGTCTGACTCACGCAAAGCTGCTGTGACACCTGCTTTCTATATTTTTCGCGAATGCGCAATAAATAGCGTTTCGTTGATTGCGCGTACTCTCGGAAACGCGACCCCACCAATAATACCGTGACACAAATAATACCGTCGCTATCGTTCGAAAAATGAAATACAAATCGCCGGGATTTAGGGGATACCGGGCATCGTGTCGAATTTATTAGTCGCATTGGAACGCTTCCGTCCGCTTGTTCGTTAAAGAGCGCGCGAAATTGGCGGTTGGTCAATTTTATTAGCTTGAACGCGGATTCGATTCGACGCTTTGATACTCCTAGTGATATCTCTCGCTTTTTAACTCTTTCACTTGTTTTTTATATCGGCACAATTGACTGACTGGGTGACATTCGACTGCCGGTCACGAACGGTAATAGACGTGATCAGGATTTTACGGTCAGTAGTGATAACCGACTTGTGTGTCGCGATAGTCTATAAAAAAAAAAATAAATAAAAACAGAGGTCAAGGTCGATCTTAGTATCTAAAGTACTTGAATATCATTTTAACAGAAACGCAATTTTTATTTTAAGACTCTTTATATTGACTTGTTGACACGAGAGATTAACTTATAAAAAGAAAGATACAAAGATTTTTCGTAGGCGTAAGATATTGTTTCTGAATAGGGTAGAGATTCAGTAAATATTCAGAGAACACCGATCGATACATGAGAATTTATGTCGAGAGTTGGCGGAGCTTTTTCCCATCATGCCTCGCCGTTAATTGCCAAATGTGCTGGAATAGGGAAATTTTAGTAACGCAATATGATTTATCGCAAACCGTGATTTGTTCCGATTTTTCATTTCCGATTTTTCAGTTCTATTCGCGACTTGAATATAAATATATATAAAACTCATGGATCCTGCTCCATACAATTAAATAACAAAACATGATGGCAATTAATTTTCGGAGCATTTCGATCGGCCGATATATCAATTCCAAATGCGTTATTGCAGAAGCGTAAAATAAGGCGCCTATATTTCTTCTCGCGTTTGACAACAATTTGGCACAAATTTGGCATAAACCGCAATTAGGCCTCTCATTTCATATTGAAGTATTTACGTTGCACGTTGCTGCCAGTTTCAGCTTTCCGCGTCAGTCGATTAAACAAAACTGCACATTTTAATGGGATATCGATAATTGCAAATTTACCGCGTAATTTGGCAAAAGGCGAAACGCCGGCGTTAATTCGGCAACGCGACGTCACTTGGTTAGCGTCGACGTGGAAGTAACGCGATCGATGATAAACGCGGGCCCCGCCGTCGAAATTCTAGCGAAAAGCTCGGCGGAGAAGAGGGGAGGGGGGGAGACTGAAGCACAGCTATCTCGCCGCAATTTCGTACATTACCGGTCTTAATCGCAGGAAAGTTTACCCGGAAGCTTCCACATTGCAGCTTAAGTTCGCGCGATATCGGCCGGATCGATTGGCACGCCACGTTGTTGTAACGATGACGCCTGTGAGATAAAGTCCCGATTGGCCGGGGAAACTCTCAGGTAAATTGTAATGAGGCTCGTCGCGGATTACTCGGTAAATCATGATCTTGATCGCGCGATCCTTTGACCTCCCCGGTTCCAAGTCATCACTCGCATTGACACTGATTGACGGAAATTTGTTTTTCTATTAGAAGAATGGCATCAAAATTATTACGATTATGGATTAATATAATCAATCATTACGGATTTCTCGAGCAAAATTAATTTTTCAGATCAAATAAAAAATGCGCTCTATTCTCTCAGTTGTCGTGTTTTATCAATCATCGATCGGTGATTGATGATTACTCTTAGCCTAATTCGTTAGTCTCCCTCAGAAATAATGGTTCCGCAGATGCTTGTCGCAAGAACATTTTCTTAAATTGACTTTGAGCAGATTTTTAGAAGTGTGCGTTTCTGTT